AATACTACTACTAGTAGTAATATTAGTAGTAGTACTAGTATTAATACTAATATTAATACTAATATCAATATTAATACTAGTATTACTAGTCGTAGTACTACTAGTAGTAGTGTTAATAATTAAGACGACTACTATTAGTACTAGTATTAATACTAGTAGTAGTATTAATATTAATACTAATATTAATATTAATAGTAGTACTACTAGTATTAGTACTAATACTAGTAGTATTAGTACTACTAGTAATACTACTAATACTAGTATTCTACTAATATTAATACTAGTATTACTACTTCTACTAGTATTAATACTAGTAGCAGTACTAGTATTAATACTAGTAGTAGTAGAACTATTAGTAGTAGTACTAGTTTAATACTAGTAGTAGTAGTACAATGGGATGTGTCTATTTATTTTGGGATGTGTTTATCTATCTATCTCTTGATTCGAGATGGAAGTAGGTTTGAAAAAGGATCTTACAGTGTTTAGGGTTGGACCAGGAGGGTCTCTTAGCTAATAACTAATGTCTTCTTTTTTCTTCTCATTGGAGTTATTTCACAAAGACTTGTCATTCATTGGTAAGGAAGAAGGGGGGAACAAGCACACTTGGAGAGCGCAATACAATGGAGAGTTGTATGCTGCGTTCGAGAAGGATGAATCGCTCCCAAAAAAGAATCTATTGATTCTCTCCCAATTAGTTGGATTGTAGGTGCGATGATTTACTTCACGGGCGAGGTCTCTGGTTCAAGTCCAGTATGGCCCAGCTGCGCCATGGAACAGAAGAAGCATCTGACTCGTTCATGCCTGTTCCATTTGGCCCGGGGGATATATCTCAGTTGGTAGAGCTCTGCTCTTGCAATTTGGTCGTTGCAATTACGGGTTGGATGTCTAATTGTCCAGGCGGTAATGATAGTATCTTGTACCTGAACCGGTGGCTCATGTTTTTCTAAGTAATGGGGAAGAGGACCGAAACATGCCACTGAAAGACTCTACTGAGACAAAGACGGGCTGCCAAGAATGTAGAGGAGGTAGGAGGGGTAGACAAATCTAGTATGGATCGTACATGAACGATAGTTGGGAGTCGACGGCTCTGTTAGGGTTACCTCATTTGGGATCCCTAGGGAAGAGGATCAAGTTGGCCCTTGTAAAACTATCTCCCTTCAACCCTTTGAGCGAAATGTGGAAAACGAAAGAAAAATCCATGGGCTGGCCCCATCGTCTCCACCCTGTAGGAACTACGAGATCACCCCAAGGACGCCTTCAGCATCCAGGGGTCACAGACCGACCATATACCCTATTCAATAAGTGGAACGCATTAGCTATCCGCTCTCCGATTGGGCAGTAAGAGTCGGAGAAGGGCAATCACTCATTCCTAAAACCAGCATTCTTAAGACCAAATAGTCGAGCGAAAAAGGGGGAGAGTTCTCCGTTCTTGGTTCTCCTGTAGCTAGATACTTCGGAACCATAAGAATCCTTAGAATGGGAATCCAACTCAGCACCTTTTGATTGATTTTGAGAGGAGTTGCTCTTTGGAGAGCACAGTACAATGAAAGTTGTACGCTGTGCTCGCGGGGGAGTTATTGTATATCGTTGGCCTCTATGGTAGAATCAGTCGGGAAGGCCCGAGAGGCGGTGGTTTACCCTGTGGCGGATGTTAGCGGTTTGAGTCCGCTTATCTCCAGCTCGTGATCTTAGCCGATACAAAGGTATATGATAGCACCCATTTTTTCCAATTCGGCAGTTCAATCTATGATTTATCATTCATGGACGTTGATAAGATCCTTCCATTTAGCAAGACCTTAGGATAGTATGGGATAGACTTAACGTTAACGGCGAGGCTCAAACGAGGAAAGGCTTACGGTGGATACCTAGGCACCCATAGACGAGGAAGGGCGTAGCAAGCGATGAAATGCTTCGGGGACTTGAAAATAAGCATAGATCCGGAGATTCCCGAATGGGTCAACCTTTCAAACTGCTGCTGAATCCATGGGCAGGCAAGAGACAACCTGGCGAACTGAAACATCTTAGTAGCCAGAGGAAAAGAAAGCAAAAGCGATTCACGTAGTAGCGGCGAGCGACATGGGAGCAGCCTAAACCATGAAAACGGGATTGTGGGAGAGCAATATAAGCGTCGTGCTGCTAGGCGAAGCGGTTGAGTACTGCACCCTAGATGGCGAGATTCCAGTAACCGAAAGCATCACTGGCTTCTAACCAGAGTAGCATGGGGCACATGAAATCCCGTGTAAATCAGCAAGGACCACCTTATAAGGCTAAATACTCTTGGTTGACTGATAGCGAAGTAGTACTGTGAGGGAAAGGTGAAAGGACCCCCCATCGGGGAGTGAAATAGAACATGAAACCGTGAGCTCCCAAGCAGTGGGAGGAGAATTTGATCTCTGACCGCATGTCTGTTGAAGAATGAGATGGCGACTCATAGGCAGTGACTTGGTTAAGGGAACCCACCGGAGCCATAGCGAAAGCAAATCTTCATAGGGAAATTGTCACTGCTTATGGACCCGAACCTGGGTGATCTAACCATGACCAGGATGAAGCTTGAGTGAAACTAAGTGGAGGTCCGAATCGACTGATGTTGAACAATCAGTAGATGAGTTGTGGTTAAAGGTGAAATGCCACTCGAACCCAAAGCTAGCTGGTTCTCCCCAAAATGCGTTGAGCCGTAGAAGTTGACTGGACATCTAGGGGTAAAGCACTGTTTCGGTCGGGCAGCGAGAGCGGTACCAAATCGAGGCAAACTCTGACTAGATATGACCCCAAAATAATAAGGGTAAAGGTCGGCCAGTGAGACGATGGGGTATAAGCTTCATCATCGAGAGGGAAATAGCCTGGATCACCAGCTAAGGCCCCTAAATGACCGCTCAATGATAAAGGAGGTAGGGGTGCAGAGACAGCCAGAAGGTTTGCCTAGAAGTAACCACCCTTGAAAGAGTACACAATAGCTCACTCATCGAGCGCTCTTGCGTCGAAGATAAACAGGGCTAAGCGATCTGCCAAAGCTGTGTGATGTAAAAATCCATTGATAGGGGAGCGTTCTGCCATAGAGTGAAGCACCCATGCAAGCAGGTGTGGACGAAGCGGAAGCGAGAATGTCGACTTGAGTAACGTAAACATTGGTGAGAATCCAATGCCTCAAAAACCTAAGGGTTCCTCCGCAAGGTTCGTCCACGAAGGGTGAGTCAGGGCCTAAGATCGGACCAAAAGGCGTAGTCAATGGACAAAAGGTGAATATTCCTGTACTACCCCTTGTTGGTCCCGAGGGACAAAGGAGGCTAGGTTAGCCAAAAGGTGGTTTATCGGTTCAAAGACGTAAGGTGGCCTTGCTTTTTTTCGAGGGTAAGAAGGGGTAGAGGAAATGCCTTGAGCCAATGTCTGACTACCAGGCGCTACAGCGCTGAAGTAACCCATACTCCCAGGAAAAGCTCGAACGACCTTCAACAAAAAGGTACCTGTACTCGAAACCAACACAGGTGGGTAGGTAGAGAATACTTAGGGGCATGAGACAACTCTCTCTAAGGAACTCGATAAAATAGCCCCATAACTTTGGGAGAAGGGGTGCCACCTCACAAAGGGGGTCGTAATGACCAGGCCCAAGCGACTGTTTACCAAAAACACAGATCTCCGCAAAGTCGTAAGACCACGTATGGGGGCTGACGCCTACCCAGTGCTAGAAGGTCAAGTAAGTTGGTGACCTGATGACAGGGGAGCCGACGACGAAGCCTCGGTGAACGGCAACCGTAACTATAACGGTTCTAAGTTAGTGAAATTCCTTGTCGGGTAAATTTCGACCCGCACGAAAGACATAACGATCTTAGAGAGGGGCTCGGTGAAATAGACATGTCTGTAAAGATGCGGACTACCTGCACCTGGACAGAAAGACCCTATGAAGCTTTACTGTTCCTTGGGATTGGCTTTGAGCCTTTCCTTCACAGCTTAGGTGGAGGGTGAAGAAGGCCTTCTTCTAGGGGGGGGCCGAGCCATCACTGAGATACCACTCTGGAAGAGCTAGAATTCTAACCTTGGGTCAGGACCTACAGGCCAAGGGACAGTCTCAGATAGACAGTTTCTATGGGGCGTAGGCCTCCCAAAAGGTAACGGAGGCGTGCAATGGTTTCCTCGGGACAAACGGAGATTGACCATCGAGTGCAAAGGCAGAAGGGAGCTTGATTTGCAAGACCCACCCGTCGAGTAGGGACGAAAGTCGGCCTTAGTGATCCGACGGTGTCGAGTGGAAGGGTCGTCGCTCAACAGATAAAAGTTACTCTAGGGATAGCAGGCTGATCTTCCCCAAGAGTTCACATCGACGGGAAGATTTGACACCTTGATGTCGGCTCTTCGCCACCTGGGGCAGTAGTACTTTCCAAGAGTTGAGTTGTTCACCCATTAAAGCAGTACGTAATTGGGTTCAGAACGTCGTGACATAGTTCGGTCCATATCCGGTGTGGGCGTCAGAGCATTGAGAGGACTTTCCCTAGTACAAGAGGATCGGGAAGGATGCACCTCTAGTGTACCAGTTCGTGCCCACGATAAACGCTGGGTAGCCAAGTGTAAAGCGAATAACTGTTGAAAGCATCTAAGTAGTTAGCCCACCCCAAGACGAGTGCTCTCTTATTCCTATATCCCCAAAGCCTTTGGTAGCATAGACGAGACAGCGACGAGTTCTCTGTCACTGCGAGGATGGAGCGACAGAAGTATTGAGAATCCAAGATATGGCCACGGCGAGACAAGCCGTTTATCATCACGATAGATGTCAAGTGGAAGTGCAGTGATGTATGCAGCTGAGGCATCCTAACAGACCGAGAGATTTGAACCTTGTACATAATGACCCGATCAATTCGATTAGTCACCCGCCATCTATTTTCATTGTTCAATTGTTTGTGTTTGACAACATGAAAAGACCAAGGGATGGAAGGGCAGAGGGAGGTTCCCTTTGGTGTCCCTTCCAGTCCAGAATTGGGGCCTCACAATCAACAATCACTAGCCAATATGCTTTTCTCTCATACCTTTCTTCGTTTATGGTTCGATATTATGGTGCCCTAAGCGTAGAGGAACCACACCAATCCATCTCGAACTTGGTGGTTAAACTCTACTGCGGTGACGATACTTTGGGGGAGGTCCTGCGGAAAAATAGCTCGATGTCAGGATGATAAAAAGATTAACACCTCTTATTCAATGAAAAGGTGGTCTTATTCAAAACCCCAATTGTGACATCCCTTCTCTCCCACTTCAACCCCGGAACGGACTGTTTTTATAGAGAGAAACGTGCTTCCACATCTTCTTAACCCAAAATGGCTGAGGAGAAGAAAGGTTCCTTTTTTTTAGGGTACTCCCGGGAACAGGTCCAGTGGAGATGGGTGGGGCTTGTAGCTCAGAGGATTAGAGCACGTGGCTACGAACCACGGTGTCAGGGGTTCAAATCCCTCCTCACCCACAACGGCCTCAAAAAGGAAGGCCCCTTCCTTTACCTCTGCGGTAGGAAAATAAAATAATGATCGGGATAGCAGACACAAAGCTATGGAACTTGGGTGTGGGTCTTTCGTTTTAAATTTCTAATTTTATCGTTAATCATTGGATATAGTATTCTTGGTCCGAATCAGCATATTTGCGTTTTACTCCCTGTAACTCTTCGTCAGCCAGACTTGGGCGGAATAGCGGAGCAAGTATTAATAATGTCTTCCTCGTCATTAATATGCTTGCTCGCGGTAATGTGGCCTTTCGAGAGAATTGATGACTGCATCCTTGATGCACTGCTAGTACATCACCTGAGAATTATGAATTGGCTAGTTGTAAATAGCCCTTGGGCTAACGAACAAAGGATTATCCCCGAATCTACACCAAGGGATTGACTTGATGGTGATTCTCAAATATCGCAGAATGTGATACGATGAGATAGGATGGAATAGAAACAAAGACAGGGAACGGGTTACCTACTCCTAACGGTCAAACCAATCCCTTTAATGAATCAAATCTCCCCAAGTAGGATTCGAACCTACGATCAGTCAGCTAACAACCGACCACTCTACCACTGAGCTATTGAGGAACAACGGGAGATTAGATCTCATAGAGTTCAACTCCCGTTCTCAACCCATGACCAATATGGGCCCGAAGCTTCCTTTGTAACTCTCGGAACTTCTTCGTAGTGGCGCTGTTCCATGCCTCATTTCATAGGGAACCTCAAACTCTATTTCATTATATTTCATCCATATCCCAATTCCATTCATTGAATATCCCTTCGGTGTCATTGACATAAGAGATGTCATTTCTAGATATTTCTATTTCTATTTCTTTCTATATATGGAAAGTTAAGAAATCATCATATAATAATCGAGAAAGTGCAACAGAAAAAAAAGAAAGGGGGTTTCTGATGATTTTGAAATATTTTCTACTGGGTAATCTATTATCCTTATGCATGAAGATAATAAATTCGGTCGTTGTGGTCGGAGTCTATTATGGATTTATTACCACATTCTCTATAGGGGCCTCTTATCTCTTCCTTCTCCGAGCGCGGGTTATGGAAGAAGGAACCGAAAAGGAGGTATCAGCAACAACTGGTTTTATTATGAAACAATTCATGATGCTCATATCGATCTATTACATGCCTCTGCATCTAGCATTGGGTAGACTTCATATAATAACTGTCCTAGTTCCACCGTATCTTTAGTTTCATTTCTTCTGGGGCAATCACAAACACTAGTATTACTAGTATTACTACTAGTATTACTAGTATTATTAGTATTACTAGTAGTATTAGTACTACTACTAATACTAATAATACTAGTATTAGTATTAGTATTAGTACTAATATTAGTATTACTACTAGTAATACTAGTAAAGTTACTAGTATTACTAGTAATAGTACAAATACTAGTAGTAATACTAGAAATAATAGTAGTAGTAATACTAGTAGTATTAATAGTACTAATATTACTACTACTACTATTACTACTAATAGTAATACTAGTAATAGTAGTAGTAGTAGTAGTAATATTACTAGTACTAGTACTAATACTAGTAGTATTAATACTATTATTATAGTCTTAGTAATAATACTAGTAGTAATACTAATAATAGTACTACTAGTAATAATAGTAATACTAATAGTAGTAGTAATAGTAGAGTAGTAGTAGTAGTAGTAATAATAGTATTAATACTAGTATTAGTATTAC